ATTCAGACTGCTTCTACAAATATTTGTGAAAGTAAATGCCTGGCTATCACCATTCCAAATTGAGTATATTGTACTTCATCCAATCCATATTCACCCACCACTGTTTCTTTTGTTTGCTTTTTTTATCCACGTTTTACCTATGTTATGGGATTTTTACTACTGATGTTCTATAGTTAATTTTGACTTAAAGTCACATGCTAATAATAATATTAATCCTAACATATCTAATTTTTTTCTTGGCTTTTTAATGTTCATAGTAAATAGCTCAACTAATTAGCATTGTGAATGGTGACAATGTTACTTGTATATACACTATATTGACAAAAGTATTGGGACACCCTCCAAATCACTGGATTCAGGTGTTACAGTCACCTCCATGGTCACAAGTGTAAAAAAATCAAGCACCTAGACATTCAGACTGCTTCTACAAACATTTGTGAAAGAATGTGTTTCTATCAGGAGCTCAGTGATTTCAAGCATGGTACCATGATAGGTTGCCACCTGTGCAATAAATCCATCCATTGAATTTCCCTGCTACTAAATATTCCAACTGTTAGTGGTGTTATAACAAAGTGGAAGCAACTGGGAACAACAGAAAATCAGCCAAGAAGTGGTAGGCCATGTAAAATGACAGAGCGGGGTCAGTGCATGCTGAAGCGCACACATAGTGTGCAGAAGTTGCCAACTGACTGCAGAGTCAATAGCTAAAGACCTCTAAACTTCGTGTGGCCTTCAGATTAGCACAATAACAGTGCGTAGTAACTGCATGGGTTTCCATGGCCGAGCAGCTGCATTCAAGCCTTACATCACCAAGTGCAATGCAAAGCGTCGGATGCAGTGGTTTTAAAGCAAGCCGCCACTGGGCTCTAGAGCAGCGAAGACTTGTTCTATGGCGTGGCAAATCACTCTTCTCTGTCTGGAAATCCGATAGACAAGTCTGGGTTTGGCAGTTTCCAGGAGAATGCTACTTGCCTGACTGCATTGTGCCAAGTGTTAAGTTTGGTGAAGGGGGATTATGGTGTGGGGTTGTTTTTCAGGGGTTGGACTTGGCCCTTTGGTTCCAGTGAAGGGAGTTCATAAGACGTCAGCATACCAAGACATTTTGGACAATTTCATGCTCCCAACTTTGTGGGAACAGTTTGGGAATGGCCCCTTCCTATTCTAACATGACTGCGCATCAAAGCAAGGTGCATAAAAGACATGGATGAGCGAGTTTGGAGTGGAAGACCTTGACTAGCCTGCACCTCAACCCGAAAGAACACCTCTGGGATGAATTAGAGCCGAGACTGCAAGCCAGGACTTCTCGTCCGACACCATTGTCTGATCAGGGTGGGACAAATCAGTATTGAACCCTACGGACTAAGACTGCGATGCCATTAAAGTTCATGTACGTGTAAAGGCAGGCTTCCCAATTCTTTTGGCAATATAGTGCATATCCAAGTTTTAGAGCAGCAAATGCTTTCATCCAGACAACATCTTTTTCAGCGAAGGCCTTGCCTATTTCAGTAGGACAGTGCTAAACCACCCCAACCATCTATGACAACATTATGGCTTCATAGTAGAAGAGGCTTAACTGGTCTGCCTGCAGTCCAGACCTTTCACCAATTGAAAATATTTGGCGCATCTTGAAATGAAACATAAAGCAAAGAAGACCCAGGGATGTTGAGCAGTTAGAAACCTGTATCAGGCAAGAATGGGACAACATTCCTCTCCCAAAATTCCAGCAACTAATCTCTTCAGTTCCAAAACCTTTACAGAGCTTGTTAAAAGAAGGGGGGATTATACACTGTGGTAAGCATAGCCCTGTTCCAACTTTTTGTGTGGGTGCCATCAATTTCAAAATTACCTTATTTGTTTTATTCAAATGGTACATTTTCTCAGTTTTAACATTTGTTATGTTTTCTATTATCTATTATGAGTAAAATATGGGTTTATGAGATTTTAAAATCATTGCATTCTGTATTCATGCAGATTTCACACCACTTTCTTGGAATTGGGGTTGTATAAACCAGGTTTTTAGGTGGGTATATTATCACAACTGTAGGAATATCTTAAGTGTAATTTTGATAAAAGGGCATTGAATGATGGCAAATAATGTACTTCCAGTTTTTAATCAAGCCAGATTAAGGCTTCACTCACACAGCCTATTATAGCTATTTTCTATGACTAATGTAAATCTCTCAGTGATTTATCGTGCCCAGGGAGAAGCACGTTCCGCACACAGCCTGCCATACAATGGATGTATGTGGTCATATTCTTGTAGATGCAGATGCCTATTTACATTGGCTTTTACCCACTCGTGCACATCTGATTTATCTCCTGAATGCCAAACTTCTGTTTTTCGGATCAGCTGTCAGATGTGCATGTGTGAGTAAACGCCACAAAGAAGCATCGAGGTTTACAAGAATACGCCCATGTAGAGCTATTCACTAAATGGCAGGTTGTAGGGAGCATATGCAGGTCCTCAGGTGTGGGAATACACCATGAGATATACTACTAGTTAAAAAGCTAGGTGCATAAAATGCCTACAGATAGTCATGTGCATAAACCCTTTAGAGGAAATATAGTTGCTTATTGATCTGTAGATTGCAATACTCTTTGTCTAAAAGATATCTTCATTTGTGAAGTGAATCTAGGCACATACATTACAGAATTTAATGTTCTGCTGCTTTCATAATTTATTTACAAGTGTGAGTTTATTTTATAATTTTATGAACAAAATGCTGGTTATATACATTCTTCCAATATATTCAGCTGAGGTACAGATAGGACCTTTGCATTTCTCCAGGATCACTCATTTTGTGTTATTTAATCCTCCCCTTTTTGAGGTCTAACCACATCTCTAGACATATTCCTTAATTAATGTTCTCCGCTGAGAAATTGAAATGTAAAGCTCCCTTCTTCCTAGCTTAGAGTTGATTGCCTGATGAATGGTGGTTCACAGATGGCCTAATTTAAACCATATGCACTTTTATTTGTGGAAAGGCAAGTATCTCTTATGTTTAGTTACACCCACAACATTTCTTACGGCATCATTTCAATGAATGTTTGAATAGACATGACCCCTAGATTCAATGACTAAAGCCATTTTCTGTACTAAATAGAGATGAGAAAATCCTTAAAAATCGGTTTTGCTTGGAATTTGCCTGATCTTTTGCTGCGATCCTGGTTATTGGCCTTTCATTTACAAATCTGCATTTTTTCCATATTTGAGTCCTTTGTTAAAAAAAAAAGTGCAGTACAAGGTAAGTATCAGTCACATGGTGTATTATTCCCATTGCAAGAGTGGCCCATGGGTGTGTTTCCAGTGTTGTGCTAAAAGAAGGGGAGATCTGGGAAATTTTGGTGGGCAAACACCTACTGGCCCTTTCACAATAAGCCCAGTCTATATGTTGTCCTTAAGTGTGTTCAAACAGGTCTAAGCTATTTGAAACCTGGTCACACGGCTATTTGTATCCAGTTATATTATGTGCATTTAGGAATTAATCCAGGTCTTTTTTAAAACAATCTATTGAGCTGCCCAGAACCAGCTCTTAAGGGAGTATATTCCACATTTTCACATCTCTTACTGTGAAGAAGCCTTTCCATATTTGGAGATTAAATCTGTATTCCTCCAGCCATAAAGAGTCCCGCTTGTCCTCTGTTATGACCTTAAAGTGAATAAGTCAACACCAAGTTCACTATAGGGACCACTTATGTATTTATACACCTTGATCATATCCCCCCTTAATCTCCTCTTTTCAAGTGAGAATAAATTCAATTCAGCTAAACTTTCCTCATAGCTGAGCTCCTCTATGCCACTTATTTAGTTTGGTTGCCCTTCTCTGCACTTTCTCCAGTTCCCCCACATTCTTTTTGTGAACTGGTGCCCAAAACTGAACAGCATATTTCAGATGAGGTCTTACTAATGATTTGTACAGGGGTAAAATTATATCTCTCTCGATGCAGTCCATACCTCTTTTAATACAAGAAAGCATTTTGCTCGCTTTGGAAACTGCAGCTTGGCATTGCATGCCAATAATAAGCTTATGATCTACCGGAACTCCCAGATCCTTCTCCACCATTGATTCCCCCAGTTGTACTTCCCCTAGTATGTATGATGCATGCATATTTTTAGTCCCCAATTGCAACAACAATAAACCTCATTTGCCACACAGTTTCCCAATTAACCACTTGCCTACCAGGCACTTATACCCCCTTCCTTACCAGGCCAATTTTTCAGCTTTCAGCGCTGCCCGCACTTTGATTGACAATTGCGCGGTCATGCAACATTGTACCCATATGAAATTTTGATCATTTTTTTCTCACAAATAGAGCTTTCTTTTGGTGGTATTTAATCGCCACTGGGCGCTTTACTTTTTGCGCTATAAATTAAAAAAAGTGCAAAAAATTTGAAAAAAAAAAAAAGTTTATTTGTTTCTTTTATAAAATTTTTCGAACAGGTATTTTTTCTCCTTCACTGATTTGCGTTGATGAGGCGGCACTGATGGGCACTGATAGGCGGCACTGATGGGCACTGATAGGCAGCACTAAAGGGCACTGATAGGCAGTACTAATGAGGTGGCACGGATAGGCGGCACTGATAGACAGCACTAATTAGGGGTCACGGATAGGCGGCACTGATATGCAGCACTGATAGGCGGCACTGATAGGTGACACTGATGATGGGTACTGATAGACGGCACTGACTGGCATCACTTCTGGGCACTGACTGGTGGCACTGACTGGCACAACCCCTGGGCACTGACTGGTGGCACTGACTGGCAGCACTGCTGGGCTGCACTGGTGGGTGGCACTGGTGGGCAGCACTGGTGGGTGGGCACAGGTGGGTGGCACTGGTGGGCATCACTGGTGGGCACAGGTGGGTGGGCACAGGTGGGTGGCACTGCTGGGCACATGTAGGTGGCACTTCTGGGCACAGGTAGGTGGCACTGCAGAGTGGCACAGGTGGGTGCACTGCTGGGCACAGGTGGGGGCACTGCTGGGAACGGGTGGGCGGGGCTAGTGGGCGCACTGCTGGGCGGAACTTGCGGGTGTCACTGCTGGGCACCGATCATCAGGGCACTGATCATCAGTGCCCTGATGATCGGTGCCGATCCCCGCTCTGACAACTGCCGGTTCTCGGCAGTACTTTCCTCACGATCCGACAGCGTGAGGAAAGTGCAGCCGAGAACCGGCACTTGCATTTCCCTGTGATCAGCGTGTCATTGGACACCGCTGATCACGTGGTAAAAGGCCGGTGGGATCGGCCTTTCACCACATCACGTGATCAGCTGTGTCCGTAGGACACAGCGATCACGGAGATCGCCGGGTGCGCGCCCCCTGGGGCGCGCAGGAGAGCGCGTTCTGGGAGGACGTCATATGACGTCCACTCAGACCTGGCCGGCCGCGGTGAAGCCGTCATTCGGCTATGCGCGGTCGGCAAGAGGTTAAACAGTGCATTGAGGTCAGCTTGTAAATTGTAGCCATCCTGTAAGGATGTTATTCCACTGCATAGCTTGGTGTCATCTGCAAAGACTGAAATGGTAATTTTAATCCCAGACCCTATATCATTTATAAATATATGAAAAAGTAAGTGCCATTACTGAACCTTTGGGTACACCACTAACAACTTCATTCAGAGTATGAATCATTAACCACTACTCTCTGAATACGATCTTTTAGCCAGTTTTCTATGCATTTACAAACTGATTTTTCCAAGCCTGTAGACTTTACCTTACACATTAGCTGTGTGTGGGAAACTGTATCAAATGATTTTGCAGAAACCAAGTATACCACGTCCATAGCCACCCTTCTGTCCAAGATTTTGCTCACCTCCTCATAAAAAGAATGCAGATTTGTTTGACAACTTCTGTCTTTCATGAATCCATGCTGTCTGTTGCTTAAAATATTTTTTTCTAGCAAGAACTCATCTATGTGGTTGTTTATTAAACTCTCCAGTATCTTCCCAACTACAAAAGTTAAATTTACAGGTATATAGTTACTTGGTAAAGACTTTGACTCATTTTTAAATATAGGCACCATGTTGACCTTATACCAATCCAGCGGTACTATGCCAGTCATTAAAGAATCCCTAAAAATTAGAAACAATGGCTTTGAAATGACAGAGCTCAATTCTTTTAGGACAATTATTTTATTCTGTCTAAATATTTTTTGACCATATCAGTTTTGAGCCATTGTGGATCATTCGGAGCTGTGTCAATAGCATTCCCATTATGGACTAAAGTTCCCCCATGCTCCTTTGTATATAGAGAACTGAAGAAGGTATTTAATACATTTGCCTTCTCCTTTTCCCCAGCCATCCACTCCAGATTATTTTATAATAACCTCTAAGCACAGTACACTGCAGAGAAGTGAGCATGTTTGATGGTGATATCAGAATGCAAGCTAATATTAGATATTTATGTTTTGTGTCTATGTTACCTGATCTACCAACCTCCACATATATTTCCACTTACATACACTGTCGATGCTACAGGTAATTTAAAAGATGAGATACTTTTTGAGCTGAGCAGATGGCTGCCACTCTGTGAGTTGGAATGAATGCTGCTGTGTAACATAAGAATAAATTACTGCTAATTTTAAGGAATGACTGCTGCTAAGTCCAGAATACTGTGAGGTGCTGCTGTCGTGTTAATAAAACTGACTGACTGCTGCAACTTTAGAGGTGACATTGACTTCTGTCACTGTATAATAGACTGTAAGAAGCTATGTTATAAAACACAGAGTAACCACTGACCTGTTACAGCAGGTTAAGTAACCCTTTACACATTACCAGAGATTGAGTGTCCACTACAGGCAATTCAATGACTGCTGAAATATTACAGGAGAATGAGACATTTCTGATACTTTACAGATGATTGTCTGTGTACTAAAGTTATTGTCAGCACCCCATTCTTAGGTGACTGAAAGTACAATTTCAGTTATAAGGATGAGATTGTGAGCATTTTGGAAGTATCTCTCTTTGATGGAGAAGCAGGATCTGATTCTCTACCTGATGTTCCTGGGGGTGGACAACTGGCAGGTAAATTGCTGATCAGTCATTGGATCAGGGAGAGTAGTCTCTCTGGAGGCCTTTTTCCTTCTATGTTTTCATTGGGAGATTGCAGTCGTGGACCCCTCGCATTTCCTTTCAGTTGTAAGGTGCATCAATTCATGACCAGGTGCAAATATCTGTGGGTGAATGTGACAGATGTCCTAGTGTTACTGTGGAATTAGTACAGTCTAAGACATGCCTCTGAAGCCCATATCTTGTCTACTTTGTAGGATCGAGTTTAAAGGAATTTCAATCATACTGGTGGTGCCAGACTGGTCTCACAGGCCTTGGTGCGCAGATGTGATTTGTCTAGTCACATACCCCCACGGCGTTATTTCTTCAAAGAGATCTTCTATCTCAGGGACCTATTTTCCACTCTCACTGGTCTTTTGCTAGGTACTGAGGGACAGGGAATGTCTGTGGCAGCGACTCCAACATTGTTCAAGGCCTGAAAGGCCACTTCTTGTAAAATGCATCATTGTATGTAGAGCGAAACAGGCGATAGCGCTCGGTGTGGTTATAGGGTATATATGGGTCTCGCCACTGTGGATGCTAGTTTTGGGTGTAAAGTCTTACAGGCAGCACTATAATGTATTTTGCCATGTGACTTTGACTTGGGCCCTTGTGTTGTCTCAAGTTATCTCCTTCTCATCTGTGGACACTGCTTCGTAATGTTTAATTATTCAAGATCTAAGATCTTTTTGCTGTGTTCTTCAATGAACAGAAAATTAACACATTCTGCAATTTCTAGTGGCAGGAATCTGTGAATTCCTCCATCTGGATTGACTGGTGTATACAAAAAGCTGCTGGCAGCTTAGCCCATACAAAGCAATGACAGGCTGATTGAGGTCACAGCTATTCATGACTGTTTGCACAGCCAGCGACTAACTGTGGTATTCGTGGCTGGATGCATGCGTCTAGATATGATAACCACAGTTGGCTGGCTGTGCTAATAGCTGAAGCTGCTGTTAGCTTGTCATTGTTTTGTATGGGCTGAGTAGCTGCAGCTATTCACACACACCTGTCATTCCAGATACATGAATTTGCAGATCTCAGTGTGTGCTAATTGCCTGTCTGAATGTAGCCTGATGCAGGCCATACATGGGTCGAATTCTGAACAAATGTTCTTCAGAAAGTTGCAAATTTTGTGCATTTTGTAATCCAATGGTGCCACTATTGATTTGATTTGAAATTCAGCCAACTAAGTCTTCAATTTCACCCCCATGTTGCTAAAGAAAATTATTTTTGTGGCTAGGAATCTTCTTTTCTTTCCAGATCACAGCTAATGCTAATTTCTTTTTCGATTATATTCTTGCATGATTCTCCCATTATTGATGAGAACTTCATTCATTTTTAAAAAAATGTCCGACATGCCCAATCATCAAACACAATGGCCGCACAGAAATTAGCCATTGCTGTGGCCCACTAATGGTGGGAAAATTCAAACGAAAATTCTTGGTTACAATTTTCGAAAGAAAATTTGTTCTGAATTCAACGCATGTATGGCCTGCATTAGGAATAAATGTTAAGGATTTTACATTCAGATGGAGAGGCAGCAAAAAGAAATTGACATTTTAAAAAGATTATGTGGATTATTTGTGGCTTTTGTGCAAATGCTAAAATATTTGCAGAGCTATTTTTTTTATATAAATTGACCTCTTACTGTCTCTATGACCATTGTTACTAGGAAAATTGTGAATCTATGCAGCCTGGACACAAACAGTTCTAATCCTTCACTATTTTAGGCAAAACTAACAAAAAATGGCTATTAAAAAATAAATGAATAAATACATTTAATTTATAATTTTTGCAAAGTAAGGCTGGGCTATCAAATGGCAGCACAGTCCTGAAGATTATACTCTCAGCTTGGTGGTGCATGTTATAAAGTTGACAGCAGTGACTGGCATGCTATCTTTTATCATAATAATTTTCTCTTAAAAATATTCAATTCACAAATATCACTATATATTTTTTTAATTTTGACATGGAATGAGCGTTTATTTGTTAAAAGCCTTGTTATGAATCATTATTACAAAGTGTTACATTATCTCCACCTCTAAAAGCTTTTTTTTCTGTCTTCTCTCAATGGACACCGTTTTTGAAACTTAAGCTGACCATACACTAAAAAATGTTTTTCCTTCAGTCCAACAGAATCCTTCATCCACACAAATTATGTGGATGGACAAAACCCCCTACTGGACTGTTAAATTCTGACAGCTATGTGCACTGGCTGTCAGGATCATTGAACAGTGCCTGCAGCTTATTGGCTAAAGACACTGATCGGCCGACAATTTTTGGCCCACCTCCTTTGACAAAACTAGATTGAGTAATCACATTTTGTTGAAATGGTGTATGGCAGCTTTGGACTTAACAACAGCCTGAAGCTAGCAGTATTTTAAAGGGCCATAACCTGTGTGATCATCTTTGAACTGAGTAACATGCATGCAGTAACACATCTCTTCTTTAACATGATTCCTATAGTGAACTAAAACAAAAAGTGGAACCCACTTCCTGTGTATATAGGACAGTTAGTATAAGGATTAATGGTAGAGGGGAATAGCACGTGTATGGGTGTTATGTAAATCAAGCAGGAGCAATATGGCCATTTAACAACTTCTCTCTCTTACATTAGGCAAGTTAAAAAGCCATAACTATACAAGTGTAAAGTGACCTAATAAAAGTCGATGAAATGTAATTGAATCTTTCCAGTGTCACCAGCTGCATTGACAGGTTCATTTTTATCACCTGCTGCATGACACATTGCTTTCAAACAAACGATCTTTTGTGGATGTCTCTGTGACAGGTTAATATAGTCTTACACTGGCTGGGAACATCTTGGCTTAAGAAGTTTATATCCTGCATTTTTGCTGTTGACCTCTTTCTGCTTAAGAAAATCTGACATTTTTACCATTTAAGGATTGTAACTGCACGCCAGCTCCCCTGCCCCACACAGTCTTTTACTCAGTCCTGGTTTATTGGGGCCCAGATAAAATAAACACTAGTTTTATTTATGTCTGTTCACAAGGGCAAATTCATAGCACAAGTAAGTTTATTCAATTTATTTTTATCCATAGCAAATATTTAATCAGTACATCTGTGTTTCCATATAAAAATA